CTGCCTGTAGTCCCAGCTACTCAGGAGGATTGCTTGAACCCAGGAGTTCAAGGTTGCAGTGAGCCATGACCACGTTACTACACTCCAGCCTGGGTGACAGTGAGACCCTGTTTCAAAAAAACAAACAAACAAAAACAAGCCTACAACACTGCTTCTTTAGTTCTGAAGAACTCTAAAGTATATTTTAAATTAATAATTTCCAAACCAAGAAAATGAAAGCCTAAATTAATTATAAGACCTCAAACAGAAAAAAATCTTTTAAAACAATCAAGACCATAAAATTCACATACCTTCTATTTGATCAATGCAGAGACATAGATCTTTGTTCTGAAGTCTCAATTTAAATGCAAAGCTTCAGAGTCTGAAAACATCTAAAATTATACCCATAACTGACAACTGGCCTAGGCTCAATGTCTTTGGAATTTGCTCTACTGAATTTGCTACTGTTTGAATGTGTTCCCTCCAAAATTCAGGTGTTTCTAATGTGATGATATTAAGAAGTAGGACCTTTAAGAGGTGATTAGGCCAAGAGGGCTCCCTCCTCCTTAATGGGATTAAGGCCCGTATGAATGAAGCTTCACACATGGAACTAGCTTGCTCTCCTGCCCTTCTGCCTGCTACCATGTGAAGATGCAACAAGAAGGCCCTCAGACACCCAATGTTGGTACTTTCATCTTGGACTTCCCAGTCTCCAGAACTGTTAGAAAATAAATGTCTGTTCTTTATAAATTACCCTGTCTCTGATATTCTACTATAGCAGCATGAAACAGACAAACAAAATCCCTTGATGATTTTTCAATAAGAGACAGTTTCACTACTTCTGGTGAGTAGTCCCTAACATGTTCACAAATTCTCCTTTTATGCAAACATAAAAATTTTTAAACTTACTAGTTTATCTGCCTAAAAATAACCAAATACAGGGTAAGGACTGATTAGTATTAGATATAAATAAAACTTTGGTGCTAAAAGTTAAGAGCTTTTGTTTTCCAGAAAATCAAACCCAAAGAATTTAGATAAAGCAATTTGCTCAAAAGTGTCTCATCAGTTAGAGGTAAAGCCAGAGTTGAGAAATTATATTCCATTCCAAATACAATGTGCTTTCAATTATTCCACATTAATAGTAGTTTACAAAGGAGATTTAGAGAATTACTCAAACCAAAAATGATGACATTTATGAAATATCATTCTTACATAAAATACCTACTTCAGCCATCTCCTCTTCTTCCTCTTCCTCTTCGTCTGAAGTCACTTCTTCTGTTGTCCCATTCTGAAATAGAGAAAGAATCTGCCAGGGCTACACAGGCTGAATATAGGCTGAGTCCATTAGAAGACTGGTGCCACAGCTTTAGTGACAAACTCTCAACCATCTGTCACTGCAGTGCCGCTATCAGCTTATTAAAACTAAATGTTTATTTTTAAATCCAACTTTGACTTGACAAACAACAGTTATCAGCTTTTAAAAATGGAACAAATAAAAGAATTAGGAATAAAGAAAAGCAATCAGTCAAATACAAAGCAAAACCAAAAAAAAGTTAAAACATAATCTAATTTAAAATAAGAAAACATTTTACTTACATGGCTATGTGTATAAGATCAATGGCTTATTTTGTTTAAAATAAATGTCACAAACTATCCATTCCTTAAAATAACTACCTTTTTAACTTTGAAAAGCCTGAATCATTACATAAATTCAATTGTCTTATATTTTAAAAGATCAGATGTGTTATTTATGGACACCTCACAAAACTAAGAATTATGAAATGATTACCACCTTACTAAAATGCAAATTTCAGTTTTAAAAACATGTTATTTACTACAAAATACCTCTCTACAAGACAGAATTTAACAACTGACACAATTTACAATTACTAAGTTTAGAAATGAGTGTAATGGGGTTTTAGGAAGGGCCTTCATACTCAGGGCAAATTTCAAAAGATAAGCTTCCTGGCCAGTGCACAGTATATAAATGCATCTTTAACCATGAAGGCCAGTTCAGGTTAGAACTCAGAATATGTAAAATATCAAGGAACTATGATCCAGAGATCAAGTAAGACCAACAAAGGTCTCAGCAGTATCTAAGCATCTGTTCTTAGATACTCTGATGGAGGAATACTTAAGAAAAACAACCCATGACCACAGAGGGTGTTAGAACTCTGCTGGATTAGTAAGCTGGAGAATGCCGTGTAGATAAACATACCCATGCAGCATTAACTTATATTTCCTTTAAATCTGCATCTCTTTAGACGTTCTTTGTCTTCTAAAAACTAAATGGAAAAAGGAAGCAAGCAGCAGCTTCCAAAAT